CACCACCAGCATCACCAGTAAGATTAGATACGATTTTGTTAGTGTCTGAAAAAACCGGTGCATGGACAGTGCTGCTGTCACAAATAGCTCCTCCAGTAGCAATATTGCTGCTCCTTTCGTCTGGCTCGCCCAATCGCGATAAAGTCCGTTGCCTGATGGCTGAGTCGGGAGGGAAGCCTAGGTGGCCACTACATTCCATCAACTCTTCGGTCTCTCTTTGGTTTACTCCAGAGACAGGCAAGCCGATTGGGCAAGTTTGGCCACTTTGGATAGAAGTACCTGTAAATGATCCATGGCCGCTGGAGCAGCATCCAGAGCTAGGGCCAAGTGAGGCTGTAAGACTGGACCCAGATAGATGGCGCTGATATATTGCCTTCGTCATGGCCACTATAGCCTCAGTCTCTGTCAGATCAGTGATAGGTAAGGCATTGTCGATGTAGCTACCTCTAAGGCTGCCAACGTAACTACTGTTGCCTGTGGAATGAAGCGAGGTAGCAGGTGAACAGGTGCGCGGCGAGCACGAAGAATAAAGGCTAGTGGAAATCGGTCGGGTTTGCGCACCTGGCACAAAGATATCCGGGACGGTGCGCTTACCGATGCGAGCAAGTAGAAGCTCGGCAGTGTCGAGTAGGTGATCAGGATCCTGGCAAGAGATGTCAAACTCGGCAAGAAGTTCGTCAAGAGTTGATATTTCGCCCAGCATACTGGCTTGGCATTCCTTATGAAATTTTTAAAAATAAAGTAATTTTATATAAGTTTAAACAAATTAACTTGTTTTAGAATAAAAAAAGAAAATACAAGTGTCAAAAGAAGAGAGAAATGGTACTTAAAAATAATTAGTGGACTATAGACATTTGAAAAAACTATTAATGGGATAAATAAAAAACTGTAATAAGATATGAAGACTAAGATGGTAGGGCGTTAGCGTCGACTTGGTCTCCTTTCGTTGCATAAGAGTTGTTTTACCTTGTCCGGAGTCCATAGTATGCATGATAATTTCCAGTCGACAATTGAATTAATTAATCCAGACTTAATATACATTAACTTTAGTAGCTTACGCTTCTCAGTACCGTAACTTTTCTCTAATTTCTAGATGGAGGTGTAATAAAGCATTTCTACCAGTTTCACCAATAGACTTCTGCTCACACTTGTCGCATTTGCTGCCATAGACTCCCGAACAATCTAGTTTGTCAACCTTCTCGTGTTGCGTCGGCAGGCTTGTGAAGAGTGTTGCCTCTTCTTTTGTTATCACCTCAAGATACGAAAAGCCATTGATATCCTGACTGAAAGAAACCTAATGAAGAAGATACTTGAAGAAGGCAGGATTAGCGAAATCTTTACATATTGCCTAAATAAACTCGAAAGAGAACAGAGGACAGGAAAATCAGCAAAAATAAGACGACTGGGCAAAGGTAATTCTTTTAATTTTAGAAAAAGGAATTACAGGGAGACTGGGCAGGAACAACCGGAAGCCAAGAGAAGGCGTCTACAGTGAGGCTGTTCAAATTAAGTAAAACCATCAGATTTGGAGGTTGGCACGTAATAGAATGGCATAGAAGAGTGAGAGAAACGGTAGTGTCGATTTCTAGTTGGCTATTAGTAGATAAGTTTGCTCATAGACATAGTTCACAAAGTAAAGGCTTGACCACGAGATTTACTCGGTTCACATGCCGCACAGTAATAAGGGAATCTGCAGCGCCAAGTTTGGTTGTCATGCCAAATGAGAATCCAGACTGTAGGGGATTGTGCAGTAAGGCTGGTGTATACGAGCTAACAAATGCTTGAGGCAGAATGTAAAACAACTCCTTGAGTAGCACGGATACGGTGGCGGTGATGGAATGAAATAACTGAAACAGGCATATAAGGAAAGGCTCCTACATAGCCTGATACGGAACTCTGATAGGACCCGAAGAGGATTGCGGATTAAACTGCAGCCTTGGATCAACACTCTCGACACAGTGGGAGGGATGAGGAAACCAGCAAGGAGCGTGAATATATTTCAATTAAGTCTAATTAAAGAAGTAAGAAATTGTGATATTGAAAGGGTGATACGAGGATATAGGTTAGGTGAATAGCCCGGGACAAGAGAGATACCACAACTGTTTAGCACACATTTGGTCAAAGGATCGGCTTCACTTGTCTCTTTGACGAGTTGTTATGTGGTGCTAAGAATGGCATGGCTCACTGACCATGCCGGCGAGACATCTGGGAATGTACTACACCCACGGTCCGACTAGAACTTATCATGAATACAATGAAGTCCGGACAAGGTGCGTTCCTCTAGGTCTTCCTGCAAATATGACCAAGTTGTGAAAACAGGCTCAAACAACTTCTGTAATAAGAAGGTTCTTTAATAATATATAGAAAAAGTAGAAGTAAAAATAATCCTATTTCATGTAAAACAATTAAAGAAAAAGGACAAAACAAAAGTTTAAGTCCCTAGGTCTCATAAATGTCCCAAAACAGAATGATGACCAAAATAACTTAGAAAATTTGCACCCAGAAGCGAAAAAAATAGCGTTATTTATGATAGGGAAGAAATACATATGTGCATGTAAATGCGAAGCAGAGGCAAAGATTAAAATGGATAATGGAAGTAAAGAATACCAAAATCAACTGGTAATTAGATACTGATGGTTGAGTAAACCATGAGTCCTCAACTAACAATAAAGTTCAATTGATACTTTATCTTTTTATATTTGCTTCATTGGTAAGCTAAAAAAGTTACTTCACCTCATCATCAAAAACTCCAGCATCAGATCATTTAATACAAAATTATAAATAATCTATAAATACAATTTGTGTATGGGCTGATCGAGGCAGAAAAAGTTCGGAGATTCACTTTGTCAACTTCTCTCCCAGGCAAATTGCGAATATGCCAAGAGCTGAGATTACGTAGGTTTCGAGATGGAAATCTACGTGGATAGAATTAGGTGATCCCAAGCTC